AAAAATTGTTCTCTTGCTGAATCTTAATTTACACTGTGAAGACTTCAGTGATACGGCATGGTATTGAGAGAGAATTTCAATCTTCCTGCTGTCAAACACACCTTGTTCTCATATGGATGCTTAAGGTTGACAAGATGTCAATTTGACTTTGACAGGGCCCCTATAGATGGAATTTCCAGCTTTTATTCTTGGCAAATATGGACGGGTAAGAGGGTGTTTGAGTCTCCCCAGTGCTTGCTTTCAGGGAAGCATGCGCTTGCTTTCAAGCTGGATGGAAGTAGGCTGTTTGTGAAGGATTCCCAGTTTCGGGGAAGGAAAGGTTTCCCTACAGCTCAAGACCTTTCTGACCTCCAAATGCTCCCCAGTTGTTCTCTCCAATTCCTGTGATACTCTTTTTTTAAAGATTTATTCATTTACTTGAATATCAGAGTTACACACAGAGAGAGAAGGAGAGGCAGAGAGAGAAAAAGAGAGAGAAAAAGAGAGAGAGAGAGGTCTTCCATCTGCTGGTTCACTCCCCAGATGGCTGCAATGGTTGGAGCTGCACCGATCCAAAGCCAGGAGCCAGGAGCTTCTTCTGGGTCTTCCACACAGGTACAGGGCCTCAAGGACTTGGGCCATCTTCCACTGCTTTCCCAGGCCACAGCAGAGAGCTGGATTGGAAGTGAAGCAGCCAGGACTAGAACCGGCGCCCATATGGGATGCTGGCATTGCAGGCGACAGCTTTATCTGCTACACCACAGCACTGGCCCTATGATGCTTTTAAGAGTCTTAAAGGCACTGAAGTCTTTGTTTCCCCCAAGAAATGGTTTCTTTCTTTTTCTTCCTTCCTTCCTTGCTTCCTTTCTTTTTTGAAAGATTTATTCATTTACATGAGAGACAGAGTCACAGACAGAGAGTGGGAGATACAGAGAGAGAAGTCTTCCATTTGCTGGTTCACTGCTCAAATGGCCACAATGCCTGGACCTGAGCTGATCCCAAGCCAAGAGCTTCCTCCAGGTCTCCCAAGTAGATACAGGGGCCCAAGAACTTGGGCCATCTTCCACTGCTTTCCCAGGCTATCAGCAGAGAGCTGGATTGGAAGAGCAGCAGCCAGGACATGAACAGGCTCCCATATGGGATGCCAGTGCCACAGATGGAGTCTTAACCCACTGCACCACAGCGGCAGCCCCAAGAAATCATTTCTTCTTCCTTATTTTAATGCAGTGCCACTTGAATTTTAGATGTGGCAAGTCATGGCCACAAATCCATTGTTGTTCATTCTTTGGGTAAAGCTAGTGCCCGTGATTAGTAGGCTATGAGTTTTTAGATTATTGTCCGGAAGTAGAGGTGGACAGAACACTCTTATATTATCTATCTAGTGCTGCACAAAAATGATCCCAGAATGTAGTAGCCTCCAGCAGTAGCATTGTATTATCTCAGAGTTTCTGTGTGGAATCTGGGAGAGGCACAGCTGAGTGGTTCGGACACAGAGTTGTCCATGAGATTACATCCAGGGGTTGGCCTGTGGCTGCAGTCATCGGAGGGTAAAGTAGGCTGGGCTGGGGATTCCAGGATGATTCATTCACAGAGGTGCTGGCTGTAGCTGCTTGCCGTGTGGACCTCTGCTTCAAGACTCTTACAGCATGGCTACTGGATGCCTCTGAAAGACAGGACCAAAGAAAGAGATGGAGCGAGAATTTGCAATGACCCATATCACCTGGTCTCGGAAGCCACATACGGTCACTTTTGCCATACCCCGTTTGCCAGGAGCACGTCACGAGCCCATACACGGGGGGGAAGGGAAGTCAGCTCCAGCTCTTGAGAAGAAGAGGTATATCAAACAGTCTTGGACATATCTCAACCCCTACAAGTCTCTATATTTTCCCTCTCCGTGGTTGGCTATTTGCCAACAAAGAAACCAAAGTCAGGGGTTCCATCTGGGGCACACGCGTGGACGGATAAATCCTGGGGTGATTCATACAGAATTTCAGGCAGGTGGTGAAAAGAGGCGCTTCTCTAAAACTCTAAAAGGATGGAGCAGAACCGGATTTCTTCTTCCAGCTTCACCTACAACAGTGTCTCTGTGCCCTTGTGACTATGCGGGACCAGGAGGTAGCTTTTCCCAGAGCGTCATTGGGGCTGCCTTCTGAGCTGGAAGAGAACACTTTGGTTGTCCTCACCTAGACAAATGGGTCAGAACGCAGGCAGCAGATGGTAAGGCCTAAGTAGGAAGCTGGCTGGTTCTGTTCTGCTGCCGGTTGGCAAACACCAGTCACAGATGGTGACAATAAGGCTATGAGTAGACCCCAGTTCTCAGATCAAGCAAGCGCCAAAGTTGCATGCTAAAAATCAGCTGCAGCTCCCTTGAGAGATGTGCGGGGTCCCCCAGGTCTCCAAGGCAGGGACCGTGGTCATTCTGGGCCCCGCGTGGCTCTAAGTGTGTGCCACGTGGAGAGGTGCGCTTGGCACTGGATGGAGAGGTTGTGGGAACAAAGCATGACTGTCAGGCCACGGAGTGACACACTGCGCCATCAAGACAGATGGCGAGAGCAGTGCCCGTCTGTGGTGGCTCACTGCCTTTTCAGCACTCCTGCTGCCCGTGTGCCCTTCCAACGGGCCTCTTCCAGAACATGTTTGCAGAGGATTCTTATTTAGAAGTCAAACCTAAGCGTTCCAAGCTTTCTTCCAGGCTGACAGCATTTCATGGTTTTCTGTTTTCTCGTATTTAGAGAGATCCAGGTTTCCGACACACTCATTACTACAGGAATCATGGAACAGCAGGGTTTGTGAAACTGGTAGTTGGAGAGAGGATTCCACACAAGGGTACAGAGTGAGGAACAGAGTTTTCTTGCCAGCCCATTGCTGCTATTGAAACAGCAGCGTGAAAGCAGAGTGGATAAGACACACGGAAAACACATCTGAGATATAAAGAAATCTACAAGTCATGACTCCACTAAGAGACTCAGGAACTCTACAACAGCTACCATTTTTTTTAAGGATTTTTTAATGTATTTGAAAGGCAGAGTGACAGAGAAAGAAGGAAAGACACACAGAGAAAGAAATCTTCCCTCTCCTGGTTTACTCCCCAAATGGTCACGACGACTGTCATATGGCTTACAGGGGCCCAACCACTTAGGCCATCTTCTGCTGCTTTCCCAGGTACATTTGCAGGGAGTTGGATTGGAAGAGGAGCAGCTATGACTTGAACCGATGCTCAGATATGGGATGCTGGCAGCTTACCCTGCTGCGTCACATGCAGACCCCAGCTACCATCTTTAGATGGAGGCGAGAGAGGCTTCCTGTAAGGGGCTCTGCCCTGGTGCTCCTGCAGCTGCACTCATACCCTGAGTCCATTACGGCAAGGAATGAGCACTCCCAGAGCTGACCACCGCCCTTCAGACCTCATCCTACGCGTGCAGGAGCCATCATTCCCTGCGCAAATGGCTCCGAGCCCCCTTCCAGGACCTATGTGGGCTTGCTTCGGCATCAGATCCTGAGGCATGCACCCCTGGTCCTGTGAAATGGCCAAGAAATGACTGTTTTGGAGGGGAAGTAGGAATGGAGCTTAGACATGTGTCCGTAGGACGCGGGTAGCTTTCAGTGTGGGGCTGACTTGGTTATGGGAAGCAAGGCGGGGAGACTTCTCTGTGTGGGGCCCAGCACAGAGTTCTCTGAGCTGTTCTTGCAGAGAACTCTGAGAAACCCTAGATTCTAAACTCAAAGTTAGGGGCCAGCATTGTGGCATAGCAGCTTAAGCCACTGTCTGCAGGGCCGGCAACCCATAAGGGCGCTGGTTCAAGTCCCGGCTGCTGCACTTCCAATCCAGCTCCCTGCTAATGCACCTGGCAAGGCAGCAGTAGATGGCCCAAGTATTTGGGCCCCTGCATCCATGTGGGAGAACTGGAAAAAGGTCCTGGCTTCTGGCTTCAGCTTGGCCCAGACCCGGCTCTTGCAACCATTTGGGGAGTGAACCAGAGGATGGAAGATCTCTCTCTCTCTCTCTCTGTCTCTCCCTCTCTGTCTCTGTAACTCTGCTTTTCAAATAAATAAAAATAATAAATCTTAAAAAATAAAATAAAATCAAACCTGGTATCCCAAGTGGTCATCAGAGTATATTTGTCAAGGTGAAATGATATACATTTTGCTAGCTTGTTTTGTAACTTACATGCTTAGACACTTGGTATGTGGACCTCATGTGTAACCCTCTCGGGGACCCTATACATGAGACAGTTGGTCCTGACTCCCCATTTAATACAGAATCAAGTCCACTTGACCTGGCTAGTTTGTAAGGTCTTTTCCTTTTTGGTTCCTCTGTAATCTCACCTTCTTCTGTGAGTCTTCTGTCTTCCAGACTGGTCAACCTACAGCTGGCCTCACTCCAAGTCCCCTTCTCTGTGCTCAGATTCCCGTTATTTTTCTCTTCTGGTTTTTTTGTTTGCTTGTTTTGTATTTTCTTAGAGCAGAGAGAGAGAGAGAGAGAGATCTCCCTTCCACCGGCTTACTCCCCAAATGGTCTTCATGGCCAGAGATGGCCTAGGCTTGAGCCAGGAGCCTAGAGTTCCTTTTGGGTTTCCCATGTGGGTGGAAGATACTGGAGATCCAATATGGGGTGCTGGCATCGCGGGTGGCAGTTTAGCCAGCTGTGCCACAACACCAGCCCCTATCTTTCTCCCCTAAAAGCCTCTGTGCCTGCCTTGGATTTATAAGGGCTGGCCTATTGTTTTACTACCAGCTCAAGCCTCACAGCCACAGCCAATGTCTCCTCCCTCTGGATTCTTCTAACAGCTTTTGTCTGAGCCACTTACTGGCACTCAAAGTGTGCAACCATGTGTGGCCATTTTTCTTATTAAGCACAAGGTGTGGCTACAAGATAAGGAGACATCAATATGCAACACTTATCAAACCAGGAAAGCAGGCTGAAAAAAAGTCTGAAGAGTAGCTAGAGAATCCAGATGTCCTTAGGTGGGGTGGGGGTGGGATGGTCAGCATTGCCGATAGGCTGCAGACTGGTCCTTGGGGAAAGTGCCCCCCACACAGACCACCCTTCCATTGGGAAAGAACTCTTTTGTTAGCAGCGAGAGGGCAGATTGGTGGAAAAACAAGACGAGCAAGCGGAGACGACAAATACTCTGTTTCTCGGGGAGTATGTTTTGGGGGGGTCTCAGAGGCAGGCTGGTTTTGCTCTGTTCAGAGGGTGGGGTAGGTTGTGTTTGTGAGACAGAAGAGTTAGAGCCGGCCAGAGAAAGCTGATGAAACAAAGTCTGGGCATGGCCGCCATCCAGTGCACAGGTGCAAGGGTTAACCTTGGCGAGGAGAAAGGGGGCTTTTTGCCATGAACAGGGAGTAAGGAGGTGGGTGAGGGCTGCAGGAGAGGCATAATAATAGACTGCTGTCATTACAGAGAGGGCGGGAAAGCCAGACTTTCTGGGGCAAGTCCAGATTCTGTCTATTTAAATATCACAGTCTTCATTCATTCCTTTCGCCTTTATTCCGTGCCCTGCGCGCGCCAAACGCTCCTGAGCACTGGGTCCTACCAAGATGGGACTTTGCATGGGATCCGGGAATTTGCTATGCCGTGGACTCCAGCGACATTTACTTTTGACTGGAGCCGGACGGCTTTTCGGTATGAGAAATACACGCACGCATCAGAAGAGAGTCCTTTGTCAGACCAGATGTCCTGGGCTGGGGTTGGGAAAACATGGGCTTCTTAACAATGGCGCCCTGTTTGAGGTGGAGAGAGAGAGGCCGAGATGAGGGAGAGGGAGGGGCTGCGCTGAACCCCGGCTTCTCCGACACCGACGCTGGGAGGAGCCCCCGGGCCCCGCAGGACGCGCTGTAACCAGGGGCAACAGCGCCTCAGTCCGCAAAGGTGAGGCCCCCGGCTTCTCCCCGAACCCAGGTGTCCCTACGGCGGCCGAGCAGGAGCCGGCGCGAGCCAAGCCACGTCATCCAAGCTACCTTGCGGCGCTCGCCCACGGCCTTCCACTACTTCAGGTCACTTCTACCTTTGCCCGTAGTTTATTGATGGAGGGCGGGGAAGGGGCGGAACGAATCACCTTTCCTCTTTTGCGATTGGTTACAGTCGGCCTCGAGTCCCGCCCCCCGCGCCGCCGCCAACAGGCCGCCAGGGCCGTCACTCCCGCAGCCGCCGCGGCCGCCCCTCGCGCGGCCCCGCCCCCTCGCCGTGGCTGGGATCTCGCGGGAAGAGCGGCGGGCACGGCGGTGGCTCGGGCTGCCGGCTGCGCGCGCGGAGCGGTAGGGTTCTCCTCACACAGGCGCTTCCTCGCGAAGGGGTTGGAGCTGCGGCGCCGCAGGCCTGGGCCGCCGCTTCTCTGCCTCAGGGCTCCCCGGTCCGCTCGCCCTCCGACGCTGCCCAGGTGAGGAAACCCGCGGCGCGTCTCTGCGGAGAAGCGGTCGGGGAGCAGCCAGCCAGGCGGGCTCCGGACGGGGGCGGCTCCGGGGACTGCGCGGCGCTGTCTGGTGGGCGCGAAGCTTGGCGGAGCTCGGGAGTGCGGGGGGCGAGGAGGCGGTGCGGTGGGAGCCGGGTGCTGGCGCCGAAGGGCAGTGTAGCGGCCACCGGGGCGGTTTACTGGGGCTCTTGAGGTTCTTCCGGCATCGAGTGTGGGTGGGTGGGTGGCGGCAAAGAGGGTCCCGGGTCTTCGGAGTCGAGGAAGATTGATGGGGTTTTGAGGTTCCTTGTGCTGGTGTAGCCGGATTCCGGAACAAGGGGTCCATTTTTCGGGGTCCCGGGCTGTTTGAGGTGGGGGGCAGAAGAGGCAGTTTAGCAAGGTCCCGTGTCCCTGGGGGTGGGGTGGGGGACAGATCAGAGGGGTCCCTGGCGTCCTTTGAGCCGGGGTGGGCGTCCGTTTCGCATTCCTGGGCTGAGGAAGCGGTGTATCCGGGTTCCGGGGACAGACCAGGGGTGAGAGTGCGAGGTGCGGGGTCTGCGCGGGCAGGGGCCGCCTAGGTGGGCTGCTGGTGCTGGGGGTCTTTCCCGGGTGTCTGCTCTGCCCAGAGGGGGGCGTAACTCGGCCCGGTCTCCCGTGTTTGGCGGGGCGAGTTAGCGGGCTCCCGGGCGGCCACTGGAGGTGGGTGACGGCTCAGCGGGGCGCTGGGCGGGCTGGGGCGGGAAGGGGCGCTCGCATCAGGGCATCCTGGAACGGCTTGGGCCGGTCTCGTTCTGTCTGGAAGGGCTTCCTTTAGTGCTCGCTTGGAGGGTCTATCCGTGTTGTTGCCTAGTTGGAGGAACAGTGGGTTTGTTCTGCAGTTTTCTCTGCCCCGGGATCCCTGTGGGGGCGCGCTGGGCTCGCTGGAGCGCCGGGGACTGGAGGGTGGCGGCGCCAGAGGTGGGCACCTGGGTCTGTAGGTTGTTTAGGGAGGCGGTGTCCGCGGGGTGCGCGTGGGTCCAGCTCCTCTGCAGCTGGGGGTGGGGACAGTGCGTGGTTCTGACTTCGCTTCCTGGGTGGTCTGCTTTGCCGATACCGCATTGTGAGCCCTGCCGTGAAGTCTTCTTGTCTGAGTGTTAAACAGACTCAGGTGTGCTCTGGCTTGATCGCTGTCCTTGGAAAAGCACTTGTCCAGAGGAATGGCCCCAAGTTCAGCCTCTTAAAAAGACAGAACGTGCTGGAATTTGGAGTCCCAGCGGCAGAACTCTGCAGAAGCACCGTTTGCGACCTGTAGGGGTGGTTGATAGAGCTCCGTAGGGAATCCTGCTGGACAGAGTCGGTGTGGTGTGTCGGTGGCGAGTCTTAAGAGTTCTTGGGGACTAGCGAAGACGGAGGTGGAATTTCACAAAATGGCCTGTATGTATCTGTGGTTTTGAAACACCGCGTGGACCAGGAAGTGTGTGCTGTGTGTGGCTGACAGTTCTTCGGGTTAGGTAGCTACTGTGTCACAGAGGCCTGTAAGTGAATCTGGGTAAACACCAATCGGAGTATACTAAAGCAGAGAATTTTGCCTGCCTCAGGCTTTTGTGTGTGTGTGAGACGGTTTTTCTTAATCTTTTTTTTAATGACTTTTGTTTTTAGAGGTTAGGGATAATGTACTTTCTGAATGTTGCAGACGTTTTAAGAAGCAAGGGAATAGCGGATCAGTATTTAACTCTGTGACTTGTGTGTAAGTTTTCAGTGTTATTATGCAAACCAAGATACCTGATTGGCTCCCACAGCTTTCAAAATTGATCAGTTGTGCAGGTAATTTGGTCAGGACCTCTAAACCCTAAGTAGATCTCCCCACCCGGGCTATTTTTAAGAGAAAGACGGAAAATAAGCAGATTTCAGAGTTGTGTTTTTTTTTTTTTTTTTTTTTTTTTTTAAGAAAACAGCTTTAAGGGCCGACGCTGTGGCGTAGTAGGCTAAATCTCTGCCTACAGCACTGGGATCCCACATGGGCGCCGTTTCTAGTTCTGGCTGATCCTCTTCCAATCCAGCTCTCTAGTATGGCTTGGGAAAGCAGCGGAAGATGGCTCAAGTGGTTGGGCCCCTGCACCCGCATGGGAGACCTGGAAGAAGCTCCTGGCTCCTGGCTTTGGATCAGCTCAGCTCCGGCTGTTGTGGTCATTTGGAAAGTGAACTCGCAGATGAAAGACCGTTCTGTCTCTCCCTCTCTGTCTATAACTGTGCCTCTCAAATAGATGATTAAATAAAATCTTTAAAAAGAAACAGCTTTCTTGATTTTTAATAAGTGTAAACTGATCAAGCAACAAGTATCTGTCTGTTAGGTGTCTGAACCCTGGAGGGATGGTGATTCCAGCTCATACATCCAGAGGGGCAGGAAGGCAATGATGAAATGGGATAAGTACATAAAAAATTGTGATTCCACTTAGGAAGAAGTACCCAGGGTGCGTGGAGTTTAGCACTCTTGTTGTAGAATCCCTGAATGATAGTATCTTTGAAATTTGTCATGATAGCTAGAAACCAAGCGAGATAGTGCTCTACCTTCCAAATTATTGAGAAAGATTAAATTATGATCGGTAGAGTTTGGGTGTTGAATGTCTTTGGACTCTGAGGATGCTTGTGTTGTATAAGCATAAAACAGTATGTAAGGATCCACATCTACCTTGTTTGTGTTGGTGGATTCTTCAGGCAGGCGTCGCCGAGGAGCAGAAGAGAGCTGTTCATGCTTCCGTGTTCCCTCAGTCTGCTTCTGTGAGCCGAAGTGACGTGGCTGTAAGTTGGAGAAGTCCAGAGCTGACATTTTGGGCACCGTGCAAATTTGTGAAGTGTATAATATTAATAAGGCTTTTTGCCAATGTTGCTGCTTCTACCTGTGTGTACTCATGACGGGAAAAGGATATTTCAAGTATCTAAAAATTATAAGGACATGAGGTGAGGTGGGAAGCACAACAGAATAAGGAAGTAGACATGAGTAAATCTTATAACATGTTAAGGATGGGGGATATTTAATTATGTAGAGATAAATTAACCTTACAAACTTGTTTTTCAAGTTTGTTTCCTGAGTTTGAGAAAAGAAGTTTTCAGACTTTTAAGAGAAATATGAAGTGTGTGTTTTGTGGTGGAGGAGTAGGCATTCTTATTGCGGCACAGACTTCAGGAAAAGATTTTTTTTTGTCAAACATATTCACATCTAATAGATATGTTTTTCTTGTGAGGCATATGAACCATAAAACTGGTTTTATAGTTTCATTATTACACTGCTGAAAATGACAGTACCAAAGTGTCCTTGAATTATTATTCAGAATTCTAGAATCATAAATGTGATATACTAAAGCAATTTCTAGAAAGGAAGTCGTAAGACACAGATTCCAGTCTTCATTGTGCTATTAACAGTGTGACCTTGAATAATCCCTTAGTTGCTCAGAGTCTCAGTTTCCATATATACAGTGAATATAAAACTAAAGCAAGACATGCCCCTGTCAGTAATCAATACAAGCTCCAGTTCCCAGGTTTGTGCTGCACTGATTTTTATGTTGCAGACTGGCAATATCGTATGTAGAAAAGGGAGGGGATAGATACCATGAGAGGGGCTGGTTCTCAGGGTTTACCTGAGTAGTTCTATGTAACTTTTATGTATCATACCTAATTTTAGATACATGGGAAATATTTAATTCCAGAACGTACATTTATGAAGGTAAATGGTGTCCCTTGGACAGGTTAGCTTTGTCTGTTAAAGCATTATTGTTTATTTTTTATCCCTGGTTCTGTCCTAGAGTGTCTGTGTGATAACAGCATGTCCTTGTTGGACTCTGGATTTGATGAGGTTTCTAGTGCTTGTCTCTAGACTGTTTAGTTCATCCTTACGCTACTGCAAAGGTGATTTTTCTGTGTGTGTTTTTTTTTTTTTTTTAAGATTTATTTATTGTACTTGAAAGAGTTACACAGAGAGATGAAAGAGAGGCAGAGAGAGAGAGACAGAAGTCTTCTATCTGCTGGTTCACTCCCCAATTGGCTGAACAGCTAGAACTACGCCATTCTGAACCGAGGAGCCAGGAGCTTGTTCCGGGTCTCGCACGCAGGTGCAGGGGCCCAAGAACTTGGGCCATCTTCCATTGCTTTCCCAGGGCATAGCAGAGAGCTGGATTGGAAATGAAGCAGCCAGTTCTGGAACCGGCGCCCATATGGGATGCCGGTGCCACAGGCAGCAGCTTTACCTGCTGTGCCATAGCGCTGGCCCCTAAAGGTGCTTTTTCTAAAATGGAAACCCATTGGTTTCTTTCTTAAAACTCATTCTTCTTTACCTCACTCTGTGTCATTACAAGGTCTTTCATCATCTGGCTCATGCATTTCCTCACTGTGAATCTCAAGCCCCAGTTGTCCTGATGAAAGCAGTTTACACAGTGAGCCTCGCTGCTCTGAGTGCCTTTCCTTCCCTTGTCTTGCTGGCAGAGTCTACGGGTTCTTCAAGATACATCCTACACCATCTGCTTTTTAGCTGTTCTGTGTCCAGGGTTTTCACTCACCGCGTCCTGTTCATCCGTTTACTCATGTTGATTATGCATGTCTCCCCTCTTGGGCTCAAAGTCAAGTTTGTGTCTTACAACTTTCTGAATCTCGATTGCTTGCTTATGTGTAGTTGGCTCTCATTGCATGTTGGAGCTCTCAGTACCGAGGTTAATGTCTTTTAATGTCCAAGATGAATTAAACTCCTATCTCAGTCCTGTCCTATTTTCCTAAAAATTATGGAGTTGCTAAATTATCTTACTCTTGCCCCTTTGACTGCAAACTGATACTGCAGTTCTTAAGAAATGAGACACCTTACACTCTAGGAGTTAAGGGTTGCTCTGCTAAACATGCAGAAGTCTTACAAAATTTTGAGGCAGCCACTGATCCTCGTCTCTAAAGTTGTCAGGAGAGATAGAAACTAACTTAGGAATTGTAAGTCTTAGGCATCAGTGATTTGGTAGTTATTTTACGTGGACTGCTTTTTACTTGGGAAAGGATACTTGTAATGTGTTCAGGTTTTTATATTGGTTTAATAATTGCTTTATATACATTGCCTTTAATTTTCAAAGCAAATACTGAAGACTTCATACTTTGCTCAAGGTCATTGTTTATTGTGATGCAGCCCGAGTCCACATGTAGGCCTGATGGACTCCAGGTTCCTGGCTGTTTCCTAAAACACTGCTATCTGAATATGGCTGCTTATTCACTGTGAAAATTGTTAACAGACATTTTAATTTATTTTATAAATTGAAGGCATAGATTGTAAGGTTTATCTAACCCTTGCAGTTCTCCTGAAAGAGTGTAGAGTGGAGAATTTGAGACCGATTGGACTGTAGAGACCGTTTAGTCCAGTGCCTTCACGTGGCGTACGAGGAGAATGAAGGCATGAGAGTTGGTGAGACGCTTGCTAGAGATCGCACAACTAGCTGTCTGTGATACTTGCTTTGTTAAGCTGCTTGTGAACATCGGTGTTATAAAACTACTGTTAGAATGGAAAACTAGATGCCTGCTTTTACCCCCTAGGGGGAAAATAAAATACCTAGAGTAGCTTTTTGGAAAAGTGGTGTTGAGGATCCGAGAGTCTTAAGGATGTGGCTTAAAGAGTTTCCTGACAGTGGATGACACATGGAAACACTTGGTGCCTGAGTCACATGGTCCCCTAAGCTTTTTTTTCCCTTTCTGTTTCTTTTTTTCTTTTTATCTGAACAGTTTATTGATCATATGTTTGCTGAGTTACCATTAGCTTTACGTGTAATCATTTAAGTGCCAGCCATGGGTCAACTAATACGAATGGAGAGATTATCTATCTGTTTGTCTATAAAGTGAATGCCATGAGTGAGCCATGTAGTAGCTCAAAAGATTAGATAAGGGTAGAATGGGCTAGTAGTTACAGACGTTTGCATGTGGAACAGGTTCAACTTAAGTTTACCTTTTCTTTTTTTTTTTTTTTTTGACAGGCAGAGTGGACAGTGAGAGAGAGACAGAGAGAAAGGTCTTCCTTTGCCGTTGGTTCACCCTCCAATGGCCGCCGCAGCCGGCGCACCGCGCTGATCCGATGGCAGGAGCCAGGTACTTATCCTGGTCTCCCATGGGGTGCAGGGCCCAAGCACTTGGGCCATCCTCCACTGCACTCCCTGGCCACAGCAGAGAGCTGGCCTGGAAGAGGGGCAACCGGGACAGGATCCGGTGCCCCAACCGGGACTAGAACCTGGTGTGCCGGTGCCGCAAGGCGGAGGATTAGCCTAGTGAGCCGCGGCGCTGGCCTTAAGTTTACCTTTAAATGAAGAATTGGAGTGGTGTGGGAGGTGGAAAAAAACCAGGGAAAAGAACTCTTCCCAACCCCTCCCCCCTTTAATCTCACTCTTGCTCACTTCCTTTCAGCAACAGTGTTTGGCAGGGCCTGGAACATGTTTTTCCAGATATCCAATGTCTCTCTCTCTCACTTCCTTCAGGTCTTAATTCAAGTATCACCTTTCTTTGAAGTCTGCACTGGCCTCCTTGTTTAAATTACCTTTTCCCTTCTGTGTACCCTGCATCCCTCTTGCTTGCTTTGTTTCTTTGTGTTTTTTTTTTGTTGTTGTTGTTTTGTTAATTTTTGTACTTTTCATTATCCAACACACTCTTTATTTTTATTGTCTTTCTACCCCTTCTAAAAAACAAGATCCTGTGAGGCATGGGTTTTACCTATTTTATTTAATGCTATATCCCTAGCACCCGGTACCTTTTATAAAGTAGCTACTCACATTTTTGTTGGATGAATAAAACAATGGACCTTTAAAGCAGGAACTTAAAGACCATCTGATCTACCCTTATCTTTTTTTTCTTTCCTTTCGAGCAGGCACAGAGTCAAAGAAACTCTCCATGGTGTTTGGTTTTTGTTTTGTTTTTTTCTTTTTCTTACTAGACCTTTCAAAACTAGTATACAGTAAAGTGTACCAATTGTAAGTGACTGGCTCAGTGAGTTTTACATGTGGACACAAGGACCATCGGGCAGCTCAGGAGTTGGAGCATGTCCAGTACCTTAGAAGCTGCCCTCATGCACTGTTCAGCCAGCACTTCCCCTAGGGAGCCACTTCCCTGATTCCCATTACTACAGACTACTTGTGCTTATTCCTCAACTACATATCAAGGGAATCAAATGATTTTTTTATGTCTTGTTTTCTTGGTACAGCATGAACTCTCTGAGAGTCACCCATGTGTTTTGATTAGAAGTACCTTATCCTTTTTAATTGCTATATATTATTCCATTGCTTGACTATGCCATTGTCTCCTCCTATTGATGTACATTTGTGTTGTTTCCAGTTCTCAGCTCTTTAAAAACAAAGCTGCATGAGCAATTTTATATATTTTTTTGGTGGACATAAAAACTTGTTGACTAAATAACTAGGAGTTAAATTCATTTAAATATCCATTAACCTACCCACCCACTCATCCGTCCACATATACTACACACACATATACTATGACCTGAGCTGCAGGAGCTGTGTCCGCGTCAGTAGGCTGACGCTAAGGTACCTGGAACAAGTGTCCTGGAGTATCATCAACAGGGTCTTCTCCCCACTTGTTCGGATGGTGGTCCACCTAGAGGGACCTAATTTACAGGTTTGAAAGAAGAGGCCAGTTCCCCACTAGAACTTTCTAGAAAGGTTATGCTAATACTGAGTATTAATTTTAAAAACCTTTCTAATTTGATAGGCAAAAGACCTTACTTTGTATTTCTTTGATTATAAATGAAGTTGAGTGTTGTAAGTAGTTATAGAAACAATTAAATGTTAAAGTATTTATAAGAAACAA